CTCCCCCCTTACCCCCAGTAATCTTTTCAATTCGGATCTGATTTGTGGCTTTTCCTAGCTCAGGTGAGCGATGTGGCCCCTGGGCCTCTTGTTTCCTTGATGTTTTATCTAACCGGGTGTTAATTGATATAAAAAAACAGAATTTCTCTATGGAATGACTCGTTTCTAATATTTTCAAATAAGGGCGTTTAAAAAGTAATGATCATTCATTTGGTTGAAGATAAACTTATTTTAAAGCTTATGCTTAAAAACATTTATCATTAAGTTTTCAGTGAACATGTTAACCTGCTTACTTGAGGGCACACATAATAAAAGAAGAACAACATACTACAATGTGAACTTTAAACTTTGTTTCATGATTTATTTATGAAAAATTTTGTATAATTACAGATATCTACTATTTTCCCATGATGACAAAACTTCTAACCGAAGCCATTTTTCTGCTGAAAAAAATCTAAACAATTTCAAACGTTTTCAATACCTTGTACTCAAACCTTTGCTCAAATATTTTAATCCAAAATGTGGAGCAAGGAAAAATGCATTGTTATTTTATAATACACATATATAAATCACAGTTATATATAGGGAAAAATGTGTCGAGATAAGTATTTCTCAAAAAGTCCTCAAATAAATGGCGAAAATTGTGATTGATGAGAAAGAACAGGCCTCATCCATTTACCTTTTTTCTGTTTCATTTTGTATTGATATTAATGAAGAAATTATTACATTGGTGCTTACATTATGATTTAAACTACTGAAGAAGAAAAGAATGTTTTTGCATTTTATGTTTATTCATGAGACCAAATGTTCTGTAATACAGATACATGTATTTGAATATTGATTAATCCTTAACTTTGAATAAATACACAATTTTCCACACTGTGATATTTGTGACACCATCAGGTAAAATGTCCTAGATCTCTCGAAGATGTCTTCAAACTATTTTCCATTACAGATCCACCACTGACATTCAGAATTTAAAAATAGGTAAAATAGGTAATGACGTTTCTTTAAAGAAAACATAAAACACACATAGCCGAGAGTCATAAATCCAAATTCTCATCATTTTTCTCCATTTCATTTCAAGACTACCCCTCCATTTTTATGTCTTATGGATTTCAATATGGGATTCAAATATCAAAATTTCAAATTTTGAGGCGATATCGTGACTTGCCACTCTTCTTTGCCATGATATGTTCATATTTTTTTAATATATTTTATTCTTTCATTGAGTATTTTTTAACTTGTCATCCAACTTGCTTTCTAACACCTGAAAAGGAAAAGAAAAGTAGTTTAGAACTATCATTGAATGTGTTTAACTTGTCAAGGAACAAACTAAAAGATGCACATGTACAATGTCTGTACATGTAAAAGAATGAAAATAACATACTTTATGTGAAGTAATAAAGATTTCTAGATCTGATAGAATCATTATCAATAATAAACAGTTATGATACCACATAAATATAAGATTTATTTTAAATGAGTTATTTTTGATGATGATCTTGACCATCTGTAACCAAATCATTCATTTCAAAATTTAGAAAATGAGATCAGAAGATGGAATATAAATGAAATGGACATTCTGCAGGCTAGTCGTGATCACCTCGGAACACATTAGGTGCTGGTACGAAAAAGATCCCTCCCTGTTCAATTGCCCTAAGTGCCGAGTATAGGACAAAATTTGCAGCTCTCCACCGGCAAGTGATAGTGTCTCCATATGAGTGAAAAATTCTCGAGAGGGACGTTAAACAATATACAATCAATCATTCAATTTCTTTCAGGTATGCTCCTAAATCAAATAACATAATACAAGAAAAAGAACTAATGTAAACTTTTAAAATTACATTGCACTTGTAGCAGTGCAGTGTGAATTTGATTCCGTCGCCAAACCGGTTTTGACCTTTAATTTTACAAAATGGTATAACCGACGTATTTACAAATGCACACTGTGCAACTTACATCTACTGTTCATACATTATTTACAATTAAAACTAATTCAATAAAACTAGTTATATATTTATAAATAGCCTTTCTTACTGTTAATGTCAATGTATTATAGAAATCATAAGGTTATTTTTTAAACAATGTTTCTGGATAGATTTAAAGTAGATGTTGATTGATTTATAATTAAAGACAGATGATACAAAAAATTGATGCCTGGATTGGTATACACATGTATATTTTTTGGTCTAATTTAATTGAAAATGATGCAAATAATAAATTTCTAGAATATAAGGAAATTGTAAACCTTCAATGATGTTCAAAATTCTGCCTCTCTGAAACCATCCTTATTAACCTATACAAATATTTTTCCAAATATTTTTCACTTCAAATCGCATTTTGTGAAAATTTGAATGAAAATTTAAAAACTAGGCGGTGAGACTTGTTCATTTTATTCATTAAAACATGGCTCCAGTTGTTATTTTCAATTTTTTTGACATAAGTTTGTTTGTATCATCTGTCCTTAAAGGGTAAAGATTTTCTAGAAATAGTAGAGAAAATGCACTGTGTTCTTTAAACAAAATAATTTTGAATAGTTTAATACTTAAAGAGAACAAGAAGTTGTTACATGTAAACCATGAGATTCCAGAAATATGTATGAATATGTCTCAATTTATGATAATTTTAAAATTTAATTTTAAATACATATAATGTTTAAATTATAGAAAGTGATACTAATAATGAATTTTTAGCATGTCAGCGAATGAAGTAATGCAATTTGAAAGTTATTTAGCCATAATTTTGTGTTTAAACGAGCATTTTTCTTTTATTAAGTTGAAATAGTAAAATGAATGGCGAGGGATATGTCTTCTAGGGTATCTGCCCAGAAACCTAAGATATAAGATTTTTTACGTAAGCAAAATATGGCGAGTTGGGACCAATTCAAAGTTTTCAACAATAGTGATAACCATTTTTTTTTTACATATGTCTCTTTACTGAAGACTTGTCAAATATAAATTAGACGTAAATTGAAAAAAAAGATAGATTGTTCTTTCGAAAAAATGAACCCTTAAGATTATTAAATCGATATTTTCTTTCAAAAAATTAAAACGTTTAGATTATTCAATCGGATATCAAAAATGCGTTTTTGTTGTTGTTGTTGTTAAGCTGACAAGAGAATTGCCAAAACTTGGTAATTACTTTCAAGATTCCAAAAATTGTTTATTTTTTTCTTACATTAATCTTTGATATAATATGCATATCAAATTAGAAAATATTATTTATTTATTTATTATTCAAGATTCCAAAATTGTTTATTTTTTTCTTACATTAATCTTTGATATAATATGCATATCAAATTAGAAAATATTATTTTTTCTCAGGAGAGAATTGGAATGATCAATTTTCAAACCTGATACCTTCTGACTTATTTTCTATAATGTTTTCGGGTGAAAATACTATAAAAATGCCAGTAAGGTAGTTATTAAAATTAATAATAAAAATAATACTGAATGTTTCAGTCCCTGTATGAAAAATTTAAAACCACTGTGAAAAAAAATAAGATGACGTCCTATATATCAGCAAAATTCAGATTCATTTTCATTAACATAAATATTTCATACTTATATTTTCTTAAATTAGGTAATGGTATTTCCGCAAGCAACAATCCTGTTATACTTTATGTGCATAATTTAAATGTTTATATTCTGCTGATATTACACAAAAAATATGCGTTTATACAAATGGTTATAACTATGGAGAAATACCTGCATTCTCTGGTTAAGTTTCCTATGCATCATATCAATTTGTAAATAAGTTTTCTTCAAGGTCAAAAGTCTTGTCTGTTCCTTTTTAAGGTCCTTTATGTATTTTATCCAATGTGTTAACACTATTACTGGATCTTCTTTCATTTTGCTTTAAAAAAAACGAGGATAATGTTCTGGAAATGCATCTCTTCATTTGTAATGAAGAATCAAAGGTATTTTTTTTTACTTTTAAATCAATTTCAGGTATGTAGAATAAACATGTTTGTTTTAAGGTTTTAAAAATGTAAATAAGACTGCCAGCATAAATCTTTTGATTAAAAGTTGTATACTTACAGACGTGATTTGGGAAGAATTCTCGCAATTTTTCTTATTTCTTCATTAACACTACATCTTGTTTGCTTTCCTAAGTTAAATAACAAAGCAATTTTATAATAATAATAATCTTCATCATATTTCTTTTTTTATAGTTGTGAAAAAATGTCCCTTTTATCTGAAAATAATCACATAAGTATTTATGTTTAATTCTTGAATATCATGCAAAAAAATCATCTTAAATTCTTCATGTAATCCATCAACATAATAACTTACTTGCATTTTATCAGAACCTACCTCTTTGTCGTTTATGATAGCTTTTTCTGGAAACGTATATCTGCTTTCGCATTCTGTTGTATACATGTATTTTCCTCTTCATCGCTATATGAAAATTACCAACCCTCCCCGCAAGCTGCCCTTTAAAAAAATATGTTGAAGAACTAGACCGGTGTCATAAACATTGCACGGATGTTAATTCATGTGTTAACAATTACTATGCTCGTCTTACAACTTTAGGTGATACTATAATTCGTTATTTAAATACTCATAATTCAAATCGGCAAGAATGTTCACCTTGATAGTATATCATCTTTTGAAGTGTAGCAGACATAAAGAGATTAAAGAAAAGAGATTTGAAATTTTGAGCAATAATTATTTTTAAAAAAGCCTGAAAGAGTTTTCTTTAACTGTAAGAAATTATCAAATATTTTTTTTAAAAAGATTAAAAAAAAAAAAAAAACAAGCATGTACACGTATTATGTAGAGGTCATTCTGGAAACTGATTCTACACGTTTTTAAGTGAAAAATACTTCTGAACAGATTTTCATTATTGTTAAGCGTTTAAAATGAAAATTTTACTTCTTACATCAATATACATTTTTTTTTAACAATAAGATATCTTACCCGAATTATATAATTAAATCCCTTAACTATGAATGACTTTTTCATTCGAACATAGTGCACTCTTCTGATTAAAAACAAAGTTTTAACACAATATATGCAACCTTGCGGTTTTTCCTCATTGCACGTGATGTGAACACCAATAGAAATTTGACACCTTATTCAGCCAATGACAGGGACAAGAAAAACATTAAAAGAGAAAGTACATTTTTAAAAGGTATACAATAATGTAATAAACAAAAACTCATTACGTGCCTGAACAAGAGATATCAGTAATATAAATCCAGAGAATCGAATCTGTTCATATTTTTTCCAAAAGTAGTTTTCCTCGTTAGTTGATTTTTTTTTCAACAACGGGGGCAAGTACTTTTAAGGCTAATAAGTATGGTTTATCCATTGAACAGATTATTAGCAAGGGAAATTGGAAATCTTGTGAAACATTTAGGAAGTTCTACGACCCTTGGAAATTCTAGAGGAAGGATAGGGTGCCTAAAGGAGGAGTAAACATCTCCTACTGACCGGTGCCTTTTAAAAAGGAATTCTTAAAGCTCATTAAGAATTAAAAAAAATGAGTCCCTGCTTTTTTTTTAGCATAAGTTGTAAAACGTTTTAAATATATATTTAGGTTTTCAATACACTACGTGCAGAAAGTATATTATTCCGAGGTTCTCAATTGTCTTTATTGTTTTCACATATTACCAAAATTATATTTTAAATTTATGGTTAGGTATTTATCAAGATGAGAAACCCTCAAATAATTCAGTGTAATTAAAGCCGGAAAGGAATTGATTCTAGTTACATGTAATGACGTTCCTTAAGGACGTTAATAAGACATGTACAGGGCATAAATAATACTCAGATTTTTATAAAGACAAGTTTATGTGGGTCTAAGAATTTTCATTCTCTAAGAAGATTTGTTGCGAAAAATCAAGCATATCAAATTGATTTATAATTATCTTAACTTTTACTTTCCTAGAGAGCACATCGATTAATAAAATGTCCTTGAACATGCTCATGCTTGAATTGTGTTTTTGTTAGCGCTATATTAACCACACGTGTTTTGACTTTCATTATTAAATGTGTCTCACAAAATGAAAAGTTTATTTTCACGATAAGATGAACAAGGAAAGTTGAATTTAGGGAAAATTATATAACATAAAGTTTTTTTTTCCTGTAATTATGTGGTTAGTAGAATCGTTTTCACGTGGAAAAGACCAGTTTTCTTTATTCTGATATTCTGATATTTGATTTTCAACAGACACATACGTTCATTAAAAAAATGAAATTTAAGTACGTCAAACACAAGATGGAAAGTACCCCTTGAAGTAAATATTAACTATTTATTTAATGCTGTTTTACTTTTCAGTTGTCGAAGCCTTTTTATTCAATTATAAAATTAAAAAACCGTAATGCCTGATTCTTAATGTTTTACGTAGTTTTTCTTAGGGTTTAGTATTCTTTAAATTAAAACAGAAAGAGAAATTCATATGAAAAATATCACAATAGTACTTTAACACTTCTTAAATTAGATATTTGTTTATAATAGATCATAGTTTGTTGTGAAGCCTATTGCAATCAGTGACCTAGCTCTCATTAGAATTTTATTTAAAATTTGTCATCTATTTGATTTATTTAGAAAGGTTACATGTGCCTTTATTAAGTGAGTCTTTAATTTTCAAACTAATGTTAGAATTTTCGTTTAATAATAACATCTCTTTTGCTTTATTTAGAAAGGTTACCTTAATTAAACTACCCTATAATTATCAAATTGACATCAGTTGTATACTCTCCAACAATAAGGCAATTTAAATTATATTTAAAAAAGAACAAGCATTAGCTAGCATTAAATTTACATTATGTTATTATTTTGTTTTTTTTATGGGCAATGAAATTAAAAGGAAAGCCCCTCTAATTTTAATAAAATTGATTTTCGTTCACATTTTCATAAAAAACATTATTGGTTTCTAAAAATATAATTAAGGACATACGCAAGGTACCTTACCGACTGATACTTTTTCAAGATATTCTTAATTTAAGAATATAGTGCCATCAAATGTGTACAGACAAAAAATCAGCATGCATTACCAGGGGTTTTTGGAAGATATTAAATTATGAAAAATTTTGCATTATTCAAAGAAAAATATACAAAAATTACGAAACATAAATTCAAAATTTTTTCCCAGCAAAATTTGTTTAAGAAGAGGTGTACAAATCCATATATAGACATTAAAAGTATTGCGGACAGGTCCTTCATTTAGTGGAACTCTTCAACTCCAGGGAAGAGCCCAATAAAGTTCATACTACGCTGCGTATGACCTTAAAGGTAAGTCATTTTTTTTTATAAATATGAGTAAGTCCTCCTCTATTCTTCCTTTAAGTTATTTTGTTTCTTAAATTAAAAACGTTTATGATAAAACAGATTTGCAATTTGATATATTTGTCCCAAACAAGCACTTTCAAAATCCCTTAAAATTCATTAGTCTAATGTCTTACGTAGCAGAGGAAAAACTGTTTGTGTTATACAGTGTATCTGACGCAAGAGCATGTTCTACATATGAACAATTTCTAAAACGAGGTAAATTTTTGACAAGCAAGTTGATGAAACAAGAATATCAACAGTCTCGTTTAAAGTCATCATTTCTAAGTTCTATGGTCGATACAATGACCTTTTCAGTAAATACAATCTATTTTTGAGTCAAATGCTGACTGACATTTTTCATACTAATTGTTAGTCCATTATTTATACACTGAATTGATGACGGATTTTTCCGTTATTTCCTGATCATGACAAGGAGCACAGGACGGGTGAGACCGGTCAGCAGGGGATGCTCACTCCTCCATGGCACCAGATCCCACTACCTGATGTTTCGGAGGTCCGTGTTTGCTCTGCTCCTATTCTGTATTGTTTTATGGACTTTGAGATTGAATATTGTTCGTCATCTTCATATCCTTATCTTAATGTAATTTTGGGTTTATTCCATAATTATTCCAAAGATATTCAAAAACCCTGGCGAATTATAAGAAGTAGATAATATTTTCAAAATGCGTAATTGATATCTAAGATTTTATTTCTGATAATGAAACTCTTGCTTAGGTAATACAAATTTATTTTGGTTGAATATTTTATTTTAAAATATGTCGAGGGGAACATGGCATTTGTTGCGTACTTTTTTTAAATTTCTTTTTACCATTTAATATTTATAACGCTTTCATTATTTTGTCCTATGAGAAAATGGATGAGAATATTAGTGCTCAAATACATTTTCTATAAACAAATCTTTATTTTTGTAAAGTTGTGTTCTAAAATCGTTTAAAATGTTTATTAGTTGAAATAATATTGTATATGTATAAAACCACTTTGTAATTAGTTCGAAAAGGTTACTATAAATATGACTGTGTCTTCCTTTTTTCATATATAGATGCCCTGCATGGAGGTCATTTACAAGTTTCATAATGTATCTCAAGGACATACCCTCATTCAAATTAATATTTCTATTATGAAATAGCACTGCCTAAGTTATCTGAAAACCGCTGATGCGTAAAATAGAATCTTCAATTTACGAGCGTAAAGTGCTCGGAATAGGGCTGCAGTAAAAAGATGCGTGGCCTTAACCATGTATTTTATATGTTGATCAGATAACGTTTTCAAAAGCAGCAGCACATAACAAACCAATTTTTATGACCTTCTGGAAATTCCAAAGGAAAGACCAGGTACCAAGAAAATGGAAGCATCCACTGTTGAATTTTAGAGCATGTTTCGCTTTTCTCCAAGTTTCAAATGCATGTATTGATTTTGATGTCACCTTTATCTTAAATGCAGTTAATTTCTGAAAATAGTATTATTGCAATTTACAACTATACGACATTGCTACTTAAAAACCAGTTCTCTTGAGAAGTACTTTAGTTTATATCTTGTGCCTTTTTTATCATATCACATAAGATTTTTTTTTAAATCATTCACAAAAAAAGAATGGGATTGGACAGTGGACAAATATTATGTTATCACTTTCACTATCAGATTAATTTAGAACCTATACAGCTGTAAATAATAATAACTATATTTGATGAAACATAGACATTTTTGTTTGCTTTTATGTTGTTTAAAGTCTCTCTGAAGAATTTTTTACTCATATGGAGAAATTTTCTATGCTCAACACTTACAACCATTGAGCAATGGGGGATTTTTTTTCCTGCCTGCACCTTCTGCAACAGGAACCTCAGTTAATACTGTCTCATGCATCCGAAGGACTGGTCTCCATGTCCCACAGTGGGATTCAAACCAGCGACGCAAGGATCATCCTCTTACCACTAGATTCATGAAGCAGAGTGTGTCTGTTTCCTTAACAACATTCTTTGTATTTAAGACACATCAATTATAAAATTTAACTTGTGCTTCTCATGTTTGACGTTATGCAGTGTAAAATGGAATGAGTATTTATAAGATAATTGCTAAAAGGAGTTTTAATTTGAAAAAAATATGGCTTAATAGTCCTACTTACATATAATTATGTGAATTGTTCTAATGTTGCTTTTTTCCGTTGAATTGAAAGCAATTATATTTACATGTAAAATTATAGAATATATCACTTTCTAATTCATGAACATGCATTTAAGGGGAAGATTTTCAAGATCATGGATCACATTCAATGACATCAGCGCAACGATGCTATTTTCTAAATACATGTAATTTTAAAATAAGATATGACGTCAAAGCACAACTATCACACTCAAATCCTCATTTTGGAACCATGCAAAAAATTTGTAGAGTAAACACAACCCATTAAAACAATAGAGTGCAAATGAAAGGCATGCATTTCCTTTCGCCCTTGTGCTCCTTGCCTAGATCGGACAAAGCAAAACCACAACAAAAAATAAGACAATGTTATGCTATGAACACCACTTCATCCAAGAAAATACTTTTGATGCTTTTAGGCATATTACAAGTTTTACAAAAAATCAATTTTTCTCAGAGCATGTTCTTGAATATCGAATAAGATAGGCAATATAAACACTACACAATGCCCCGTAGAACACTCGCTGGACCTGAAAATGTATCTGTGTTTGTAAAGGTTATAACT